ACGAGTTTCAGTTGACTATAACTTTTACTAACTTGCCCGGATACGGGAGACTGCTGTTATAAAGTTCTGTAAAAGGTTGTCATAAACATTAAAATTTATGGAAAAAGTTTATAACGATGATTGCTTAGCTCGTTCATGCCTACTGCACAAGTGATATAAGTGATTTTAGAACGGCCGCGATGTACGGAAGACAGATATAATTTGCAATGATTAGATACGAAAAGTGCGTGGAATAGTGGTAAAGTAAAGAAAGTAAAGAAATTGAACACAACCACAGACATGATTCACAAATTTTAACAAGTGATTTAAGAAAATCACAAGTCTGTCCATGATTTGGTTTTCAGGCATTAAATATCATATCACAGTAATATGTTTGCTTGTGTATTTTCTTCCAAAATAGCTATCCTGGGTATGCGACACTGACTTTCCTCTTCTTGAAAGGTGATTACGCGAACAACGTTTTATGAAAATGTTGAACACCAAGTCGACGAACGAATGAGTTATTTTGGTGAAAAAGCTTTAAAAATTAGTGAGGAAGAGATGTATTTTCAATAAAAATGAACACTTTTGCCAAGATAACTAATCGTTTTTGTATTTTTTGTTTGAAATTAGAAATATTCTGTTATTTGTCAGACATACTGTGTGTTTTCAAAATGTTTAACAGCAGGATACCTTGATAATTAATAAAATCTTAAAAGATTTTTAAAAGATTTTATCCAGCATTAAGCAACAGCTCTTCGTCGCTCAGGTGATGGTTGTTCTGCACTGTACATAGCAAAAGGCTATTGTAAAGACTACTACTATGCTAACATTGTTTGTGATAAGGTCAATACGACTATTTTACTTATGAAAGTAGATAAATTACTTTCACAACTTTGAATATTTAAAAAGTTTCTCTAACAGTTGGAAATTAATTGTAAGAAGAAATCATTAAAATGTTTAATGAACTTTGGAAATATTTGAACAGCAGCGGACTTTGGAAATTATTCAAAATTATTGGCATAGCTTTGCAAAACTATGCAGGTCTCTTAAGAAATCATACGTTTATTTCATGTGAAAATTTTTCTATTTATGTCCACTAATAATCAATCCTCGCATATATCATGTACATCAAGAATGAAAACAATACGCCATTTCCTAAGCTAAATGCTAAATAGAATAAATAGAGACCAATAAATTTAGTACAACATTATGTTTGAACGTCCGCTGGTTGGTGTCATCCTGAAATCATTTTTAAGTAGAAACACCTTAAGTAGAAGTAATCTAAGATCAAATGGAATCACTGTTAAATCAAGATTTTTCAAGTGCTTGGCGAATTTCGTTGGGCCATGCTTAGTTTGTTGCAGACTGTAAGCTCCATCAGAAATGTCCGAATTGTGCAATTCGTTCACGCGTAAGGCATTATTGAATTTTATGGTTTTAGCTATAATCTATTATTCAGAGAGAGAGAGAGGGAGAGGGACAGAGAGAGAGAAGTCAGTCAGAATAAGTTGCATCAAAGTGATTCAAGGTAATTTCAATCTGAAGAGAATAAAGGATATAAAAGCCTTTAAAATAAAGCAAGAAAATACGCTATGGTGGGTCATTAATACCCTACATCATACTACAGTCTTCCATGTAATGGCTTATGGCCTTATATTGAAAATATGGCATTACCTAGGAGGTGATCGAAAATGTAGTTCGATCCGAACCATTTTCAGTATCGTTCGTCTTTGGGACAAAATACGTTAGTGTCCAAATTTCATCAAATGCCTCGAAAATGACAAATTTTGAAGGCTGAAGACAAGAATACATATTCGACAGTAACACATACATGCTCATAATAGTTCCAGAAACTTCTAAGAAACGAATAGATTGCACAATCACGCCAACAAATAAGTCCTGTAGGTCTGACAAGATATTATACCTGGCCAAAGATGATCGATCGTTCATAACCTTTCCATAAGGAATTCCTAGTCTGCCTGTAACATGGAATAAGCTATGTCTTATGATATGCGAAACTTTAAATAAAATATTTCTTGTGACAGGTTACTAGAAATTTGACTGAAGAAAGTGACAAGAAACAAGAAATATTACAAAATATTATGTTTCCTAATACGATGGAAGGACTATTTGCCCGGGAGCAGTTTAATAATCGTTCAACCCAGATTTGAAAGCACAAAATGAAAGCAAAATAATCAATTATTTCACATAGATCACGGAGTAGAGCGATTAAGGTAAAGCTGAAAAATTCAATTGATTTTTGCCTAAACCAAAGACTAACAGATTCGTGATGCACTACTCTTTGGTGGTTGAATTTTGCTTTGTCTGTTTGTGCTTAGTTTTCGCTGGCTTTAGAATCTAACCGTTTTTTTTTTTTTTTCTTTTTTTTCGAACATCAAACGTAGGATGACGTGATTAGAATACGTCGTGTTCGGTTAACTTTTTCGTTATAACTTTTCATTTAATTAATCAAATAATTAGAAAAATTTAATTTTTAAATCAAGCAAAAATTTTCTGATTAACGCTTTTTTAATATTCTACACACTACACAGTATAATTGCAAGTTAAGTAAACTCTTCACTAGTTAATGTCATGCTTTTTCGAAAAGTAATCTATCATTATCAGTTACGTAATGATGTGAGTGAGTACAAAAAGATATGAATAAAAAAAATATCTATGTAAGAATCTGATATTTCCCTCATTTTGATTGACAAGAAACAAATGATCGTAACACAATCTTTTCCTCTATATAACTATAACAGCTATCGTCATTAACGCGAAATGCAAAAATGTGAAGAAAAAAAAAAGAAGAAAAACGAAAAAACACAAGAGCAATATATTCTTTTTTTTTAATCTTTTGCATTGATTTCAAATGAGACTTTTTTTTCTGCTCATCAGTTACTGATATATAAATGTGTGTTTTTCGAGATTTTAGCATATTTTTAGGTGTTTACCTGCACTGATAACATCTTATTCGTATTCTGTGAATTTCGTTAGCATTAACGTATTCACAACTGAAGCATACATTCTCTGCACCATTAGCACTCTATTCAGGAAATAATACAAATGTCATTTTCGCGTTTTCTTGTCTACTTATTCGTTCCTCGTTGATCCAGTCAAAATGTCAACAGAGAAATTCCCATGCCATTGCACATAAGTTTGTGTACATCCTTTAATGGTTATATGTACATATGTATGCAAACACTTTTCTTTCTAACAGTGCGCTGATAGTTTCCGTAACAAAGTAACAAACGAGTTTTATGATCTCAGTCAGTCCCGTTTTCGTTTTTGTTGCCGTCTTTTTTTTTCTAATTTTCTTCTTCTCCTTCCATTCGCTTTTTTTTTTTTTGTTATTATTATTACTATTATTACTTTTTTTTATTTATTTATTTTTTTTTTTCTTATTACTCTTCTAATATATATGTCAAGGTAACCGACAAAACTTACTAACACTAATGCACAAATATATGCGCATACTATGTAAGATATATAGTGTATGCACCCACTGCCTGCACGAAAGACTCGTGTTGGATTTCTCCTTTCCTCCTGTAACCATTCCTGTGTAGCCGTGCTTGTTAACACTTCCATTTTACCCCAGCAATATCGTCACCGTCGTCGTCAGGTAGTGAGTGCACAGAGAAAAAAACAAAAAAAAAAAAAAAAAAAACAGAAACAGAAACAGTAAATGCCAAGAGGAAAAATTTAGTTTGTAGCACATGACACTTGAGGATAATGAAACGAATAAAGGAAGAAAATTTGTTAAGCACTCTTGGCGTAGACGAAAGGAAGTGCAGAGAAAATGGGTAGATTTGTTTAGTCTCCTATCCTATAACTTCAGCAGCATCCTTTAAATAATCTTTTTTTTTTTTTTTTCTTCTCTTTCTCGATATGACAGCAAAAACTTGGAATTAATAATATACGTATGCATAGATAAGAATTTTTCGTTTGACACAAATACTAAAACATAGGGGATTGAAATTTCTATTTATTCTAATTTAATTATTAAGAAATAAATTTCTCTTTAATTGAATAGGACGAACAAAAATAAGTTATATAATCTAAGGTTTCACTGTGTTTGCGAAATTCTCACTAGGCATGACAATTACAAATTTGTGTGTGTGTGTGTGTGTGTGTGTGTGTTTGTGGATGTTTGGGTGTGTATATGACTCTTTATTCGGATAAATGGAAAAAAATGCATTTAGAATTCATTCGAAATATATCTACTTCAAATATCTTTGTTACTTACGATAGATACTGCATAACGAGGCTGATTGAGAGAGACAGCACCTGATGATGATATAATCAAAAGACTTACCTGCAAGTATAGCAAAAAAAAAAAAGAAAAGAACAACATAAAATAAAAAAAATGTAAATTTAATTAAGATTTGAAATTGATTGAAAAAGTTCTAATGTCAAAAGGAAGAAAACGAACCATAGGGGGACGCATCTGCACAACAGAGAAAAAAATGAAAAAGGAAAACTTTAAAACAGTATGACTAACGAGTTTTAAAGAGTTCTTGTTTATCCAACATATACAATATATCAAGTTCAATCCGCCTGAGTGGCCGAGCGGGCAAACAGTCTCGACTAAACAACTCAATGGCCACGGGTTCAAATCTCAAGTGCGGCAGAGTTTTCAATAAAGCCGATTACCTTTACAGATGCCAGTGCTTTCAAAGATTGTAGTAATAAGATCATATGTTTTAATTGAGTTTCATGTATAAGTAAATAAAGTAAATAAATAAATAAATAAAAATAAATAAATAACTCGTTTGAAAGGCCTATGAACGCGTGCACAAAAAGTCCATAAACGTGATATATTTCTGATAAGAGTAAAAATTTTGCCTTTTTACTGCTTAATAATAATAATTTTGAAAATCGCCTAAATCGATTTTTAGGCTCTTCCGCGTTTTTTTTTTTTTTTTTTTTAAAAACTGGAAAATCTGAAATGTTTTAAAAAATCTGAGTTTTCAAGATAGCCGCAAACCTGCATGACAAGTACTTTGAATGGGCAGGATGGTTTAGGAAGTGCCGGAACCGATTGAAGATAAAAAAAAAAAATGAAATGAAGAAGCAATCTTGCCATTATCATCATTATTGTATTTAAACCCATTAAACAAACTCGAAGTTGGAACCAGCACAGATTGAAAGTAAAGTCAACACTTGTTCAAAATTGAAATTTCTCTGAACCATGTTTTTCGAGTTTGCCGTAGTCGTGGTTCAATTTTAAATCGATTATCTAAGAAAATTATAGGCGGTTGTGACCGTACCCCGCACACATATTCTAAAAAAGATATTAACCACTTTTCAAAATGAGGCATTGCGTAGGAAGCGTTTGGAAAAGCGATCCGATCAGAACCATTTTCAATAGCGTTCGTCCTTAGTCAAAGCTCGTCAGTGCACAAGATTTCATCATAATATCTCTTCTATAGGCCGAATAAAAGAAAACGTGATAAGACACAAATTTATTTTTTTAGTAAAATCTTCCAGACTATTTCAATGAGTGTATAGACGTGACAAAAGAAAGAAAGAAAAACAAACTTAACGTCTTCACGGACACTTTAGGGGAGCATACGGTATTAGGCGAAACTTTCAGTGTAGGTTGAATGGACCAATTAAAACTACGTTGCACAGCTCTTTTCCACTTTCCGTATCGATGTTTGCGCTGTTCATCTGTACTTGCCGGTTTGAATTCGTCATATACGATATTGGAATAATCGTCTTTGTCGGGATCAAAGCGACAGAGATCTATACCGACCGCCTGCGCAGCACACATGGCTATACCAAATGGTGCGCAGTCAAAGAGCTGCGAACGGAACACTGGTATGCCTACAGTATCCGCTTGCAATTGCATTAACAAATTGTTTTTGGATAACTGACCGTCGGCCTGTAGTCTATCGATTTTTTGATTAGATTCTTCATACATTATTTCCAGTATATCGCGCGTTTGAAAACATATCGATTCTAAGGCGGCTCTTATGATATGATCTCTGTTAGAAAATTGCGTGAGACCGATGATAACTCCACGAGCATCTTTTTGCCAATATGGCGCGTACAGACCGGTGAAAGCGGGTACAAAATACACATCACCAGTTGTAGTTACAGTTCCGGCGTACTTTTCAGCATCTTCAGATCTAGGTAGGACACGAACTTGATGTTCTAGCCATTTCAAGGCATGGCCAGCTACAGCTACGGCTCCTTCTAAAGCATACGTGGCCGGAATATTTGGTCCCAATTTATAAGCAACTGTCGTTAATAAACCATGGCGCGATATAACTGCCGTGCGACCAGTATTGCACAACAGAAAGCAACCCGCTCGATAAGTATTTTTAGCTTGACCGGGTTTTATGCACATTTGACCCAACAACGACGCCTGCTGATTACCTAAAATTCCACTTATTTTTACACCAAGCAGCGAACTGCGTTCATCTGTAACGGTACCGTATATTTCTGAAGAGCTACGTATTTGAGGCAGCATTTTATCCGTTATTGAGAACGCTTTTAGCAAATTGCTGTCCCATTGCAAACTTCCAATGTTCATAAGTAGAGTGCGCGAAGCATTCGTTGCATCGGTTATATGCAGCTTGCCTTTGGTTAGACACCAAATTATCCAACTGTCAATGGTGCCGGTGAGGCAACGTTTTTCTTTGCACGCTTTTCGTACAGCGGACGCATTTTCCATAAGCCAAAGCATTTTTAAAGCTGGAAAATAGGGTGATATTGGCAGACCACTTATATCCCTAAAATGGTTTATGTCTCTATCAGGAATCTTTGCTATTACCTTATCCACTATAGAACTTGTGCGTATATCATTCCAGACAATGGCGTTATGCAAGGGTTTGCCAGTAATACCATCCCACATAACTGTTGTTTCGCGTTGATTCGTGATGCCGAGTGTAACGAGATTTTCTCTTTTATAGCCCAAAGATGGCAACATACCCACTGCAACTTCGACGCAACGATACATTTTGTTAATAATGGTCATAGCGTCTTGCTCGTACCAACCTGGCTTAAGTGAAATCATTGGTACACTCAATTGATGGGAGGCAATTTCCTTAAATTCCGGTGTACTGTAAATGGAAAAAGAAACCGAAGACGTGCCGCCATTGATGACACCGACTAAATCTTGAATTTTACACGTTTTGGATGGATCGAAAGCTCCAGTAACAGAATTCGCATCTCCTTTATTTGCTGTCATTTTACTGTCTGTGTATTTTGTGTAGTATTATAGCCTTTTCGGATATTTTTTCTCTTCTATATAATGAATGTTTTTTCCTCTTAGATATAGATCTGTATGAACCGTTTATTGTGACAGTGCGGTATGTCCAATTTCCTCAATGCGAAATATTGAAGTGTTTTTTCATTTCAAAAAATTTTATTTTACTTATAATATTGGTAAGCATTAATAGAAAACTCTTTACATTTTACATTCTTCGATATAAATTAGGTATATTATCCAAAGGAGGTTCTTACGTTTACTGGCAAAAATAGCAGTTATACTCGATAATAAAAACAATTTTATGTAAAATATTTATTCGGCTGATACAAAGTGAAAATGAAACAAACAAATTATTTTTGGAGAGTTGTGGCTCATCGCGCCTACACCTCCTTACAGTTGTTCAGACAACGACTTTTCGAAATAAGGCTTTATAGATGAAGCAGTTGAAAAAATGGTTCGACGCGAATTATTTTCAATAGCCCTAGCATCTAAGCATGTTAGTGTACAAAATTCCATTAAAAGATCTCTCTCTCTCTCTCTTTATCGGCTTTAATGAAAGCTCTAACGCTTTTGAGATTTGAATCCACGACCATTGAGTTGTTAGACGAGATCCTTTGCCTAATTGGCCACTCTGGTGGACGATTAGTTTCGATTGTGACCGATTTTTTTGCTACCTTAACCATCTTTATTTTTGAAAACAAACTTTAGAAGAAAAAGGGAAAAAATTCAATTTCGATATTTTATAGCATTGGATAGCCGTGAACTATGTTTTTTCATTTTTTGACAGGTACTGTAAGATTACCTATAAAATACGCGTGAAAACATTTACCGTTTAATCTGTTGAGTAATAAGAAAAACATCCAACTTGCTTGCCTTTGAAAACAGAGATGTTTTGAGTTTATGTTTTACTGTGAATGTATCCTTCAGTCATTTTGAACATCAACCGGTGTACAAAAGTTTCCAATACTTGCACAAAATTTGAATTTGAAAACATCATTTTGACGACTGTGTGAATTGTCCTCACAATCCAGATGCACGTGAGGGAGACGGACGGACAGATCGATTGGGATCGATTCAGAATTTGGTACCAGTCAAGAGTACCATTAGTTTAAAGAATTTCTGAAGCATCCTTCCAGATATGACAAAAATGTAAATCCAACCTTAAATATTTAAAGAATTTTCCTTTCTGTGTATTTAGGATTTAGAATTTTAAGATATTTGCGATGAACGATACTTATGTACAGTAATAAATTAATGAGGTTTTTAAATTCCTCTGGCATAGTTGAGTTAGCTTTTTCACATAAAACAGAAAGTTTTACGTATTCAAATTTACTTGGTTTTCCACGCTGAGAAATTTAGAATTTTAAATTCAACATGCCATTCTCTCGGCGTATGGTGCGTTGCTTTTAAATTTGTTCCTGCATGCACTGAAACAATTCACAGTTTCCTCATAGCTGTTCTACCATTTATATCCATTACCGAAGGATGGCGGTAATATTCAGTTTGTCAAAACGTTTGCAACATCCAGAAGGAAGCTTCAGAGACTCCAGAAAGTATATATATATTCTTGATCAGCATCAAATTCTGAATTGGTTTAAGCATGTCCGTCCGTATAATGTTTGCTCTAAAAATTCTTCTAATCATAAATATGAAGCTACCGATTTCAAATTTGGCGGCAAAATTTGGAGTTCTTCCATGCTGTTTGGTATTGAAAATGGGTTAAATCGGTCGAAGGACAGGCCTGCAATATCACGTGAAAGAGTACAAAGTTGTTTTTTTTTACTCATCGAACAGATATTCTTTGGGCGATGCTCTACTATAACTGTATAAAAATGGAAAAAACTGACCTCGCCTACCCAATAGTATAGTGTACCAAAATTTAATTCTTTTTTCAAAGTCTTCACAACGCGTACAAGTAAGCTTCAATATTATGGAATACGTAAATATTTATATATTTCGTTTTTTTAAAACTTTTATACGATAACGGTGATGGGAATAAAAGACTCGGTCGCAACTAAATGTAGTTTAAATAGTTTTTTTTTTTTTCGGTAAAACTTTTTTTTTTTGCTCACACCTTACCGTATTTTGGCATTGTAATCTGTCAACTCTCAAAAAATTAGCGATTGTCGTTTTCTCTCAAATTTGGTATTCCGAAGCAAAAGTGACAACAACACTCTCTCATATCAATTCCGTACAAAAACACATCTATTACTTTAAGGAAACCACAAAATGAAATGCTTAAGGTTAAAAAAAGTGAAGCAAATTGAAAGTAAATTATTAATATTTACTTATTTTCCATAAAATTGTTATTTTATTTATGCACTTATCTTATAGAATTTTTCTCAAATTCAAAAAATCTCTGCTTTGTATTGATGCGATAAACGCTATTATCATAAAAATGCTTAGTAACATGCTCACGAGTTCAGGCGTTTTATGTTTTTTTAAGATTTGAAATTAAAAACCAAAATACCAAAAACTCACCAAACGTTGACAAAACCCCAGACGCAAAGTTATTCGACATTAACATATGGTTAGCAACAATGTCGCAACAACGACACTTAGAATACGGTCGTTATTGCACTTTTGTGTTGTCATATCTTGCAGCAAGACTTCTGCTTCTACTATTTCTTGTATGGTTATGTCTTTTAATTCGACCATTAGGAAAATTCTGGTAGCTGTCACTTAATGCATATATGCATATATATATATATATATATATTCCGTTTATAAAATATGCAATTGATACTCTTAAGTTCAACTTAAGATGAACTTGCAACATTTTCAAAATAAAAATTCTTTCGATAAGTAATTGTTTTTTAAGAAACTATTAGGATTTAGTTTGGATTATTTTACCCATAAATTGCATGCAAATAAAAACTTTTACCTTCATGTTATTATTATGTTCATGTTTTTTTTTTAAATAACCAAAAAAAAAAAAAAAAGAAAGCAAAATACTTGTGTAGGAGACTTTTGATTTTTTTAAGAGGCGCTTATTTGATTATTCTTCTTTAAAGTAGATCCTATCATTGTTTCCCTCAACACTACAGCCCTTTGAATATTCTTTTCTGTCTGCAAAGTAATGAAACAGTTACAAGAAATTATATATGGAGAGCCGTGTAATGGTTTTGTGTCTGCGAAATATTCAAGGTCTTATATATTGAGAATCGAGGGTTTCCGGTATTAAAGAGTTAGCCTATCTCATTTCATTGACAATTTTCAAAAGTATCAACAGTTTCGAGACAAATCGCGATCCCACTCTAAACTGATTTTTGCATTATCTTATAATTCACATTTTTTTACATTTCACTGCTCTAGACCATATATCGGCGACGTGATCACGTACTTGGAGAATCATCGAGAGGGTCAGGACCTGTCCGCACTCATCTTTATTAAGAATTCCGCTACAATGGAGGCCCAACATTTAATAAACAGGTCTGTGATGTGCGCGCTATTGCGAGGGCCAGAGAAGTTCGTAGTGTGACTTGATGCTCCACTTTGCTTCTTGTTTATTAAATCTAAAGGGGAAATAGTTGGATTACATCCAACAAGTATATTTCGATATTCGAAAGCAAGATTATACGTAATATATGACAAGCATAATGCCGACAATCAAACTATGGGATCCCCGGAGGCGACATTTACACCATCCACCACGCTAATCACTTAATAAAATCCTTAAAAGTCTTTTCCCATGTTTTCAATATTTTGCTGCATTCAATTTCAAACAACAATTCTATACTAAGTCTTTGAAAAACTGGCTGATTATTATAAACTAGATCTCACACGTTCAATCCCTAACAAAAAACTCGCAATTATCTGCAAAATTGTCATACATTATTTCTAAAAATTCTGATAACTTTTTGATCTTTCAAAGTAAGCTTCTAAGCATCATTACTTCAAGGCGATATTTCATTTTGTATTTAACTGCTGACAAACATAAATTTTCTTGGACTTAATGTTAATTTTAATATAGCTTCAAAGTTGAAATTTATGTACTGTTCATGATTAAGTGATAAATTTTTAAAAAACGAAAACATCAGAAAAAAATATACAAATGTCATGATATAACCTTAAAACAACCAAATGCTACGAAAACATTTCTATGGAACGAATCTACAACATATTTTTGTCGTACAGTCTATGCGAGATTGTTCGGTTTGTATTTTAGCAATTCTTAATTAGGATATACGGAGCCAAGAGCTACATAGTTGGAGAAAGATTACGAGGCAATCAATCCGAAGAGATCTATCCTGAATAATCATACTTTTAGTAACTTCTTCTTCTGAAACTTTTAAAAGAACGAAGCGGTTGAGTTAACTAGAAAGTAGATAAACAAATGTAATCGATAGCATTTTTAGTCTTGAATCTTCATTGTAAGTGTAAGTGGAAGCATTCTGCGGTCACTCCATATGTCCTTCTCGTCACTTCTTTCCAATCATTAACTTGTCACAGGTGAAGGCGACATTCCCTTAGTGAGTGGTGATACAAGAGAAAACGAAACTAGTGTATGGCAAAAAGTGAATCAATAACGATAAATAGATTGCAAGTAAACTCTGTGGGTAATGAAATGGACCAATGATCAATCTGCATCGCTCTATCGAGAGAGGGAGATCTGAATAGCGATAATGTTTTGTATTTCAAGGGCAAGTTTCTCGGCTACCACGCTAGAAACGTTCATCAGGCTGCCTAACCACGGAGGAGGTTTTATTGTTTCCATCTGTACAGCGTAGACCTGATAATTGATTCCCTGGAAAACTTTTCAAAGTTTCTATAAAGAAGAAGGAATGTCATATCGCTTGAGTGTTTTCTTCTTTTTGTTTTTTTTTTTAAGAATAAAAATAAATTCATATATTATAGTTCCATTTTCGTTTTTCATAGGCGTAATATTTTTTGGGGTATTTTTTTGTTATTGTTTTTTTTTTTTTTTTTTTTTTTGTGCTTCAAACCTTATTTGCTTTAAACCAGCAACATTTGAATGA